GCCGTGCGGACCTCGCAGACGCGTCACACATAAACCAACCTTAAATCAGCCTTGCTGTGAGAAGAGTGGTTTACCCCTCTCACTTTTCCAGGACATGAATATGCTAATGAGCTGCTTGCTGATTGGTTGGTTTAAACCAGAAGGCCTCAGACACTGGAGACGGCAGATTGGAGGAGGAAGGGCTCCACATTGTGACGTTTCTATGAGGTTTCTAAGAAAATAACTTTTTCTCTGTTATTTTTAAACTTTCTAATTCACATAAAAAGTAGGTCACACCCAGCTTTGACTTTTTGGCGTGCTACGTTTTACCACCCAAGCTGTCTTTATTCACAAACAACAAAAATGTTGGTTTAAATTCTTTGTCGCCGTTAAAGGGAAATCTGGAGTTCAACCCTACAGTCATCCAACCCAATAGCTGTTATGATTACGAGAAAAACAAAATGAGGCCAGATTAGATCTTTTTAATTTAAAAATTATTGAAACAGGTGAAACTGATAAACATTAACATGGTGCAAAAGTCCATTTATGTCAGTAATCCAGCCCAGTCTGAGAGACCATCTAAAGCCTCTGCAGGTGTTCTGGATTCATTAGCCAATGAGAGTGCGGCACTTTGAATCTAGAATATTGAACAAGGCTGCACAGTGGTGCAGTGGTTAGTGCTGTTGCCGTGCAGCAATATGGTCCTAGGTTCAAATCCCGACCTGGGGTCTTTCTGCATGGAGTTAGCATGTTCTCCCTGTGCATGCGTGGGTACTCTCCTGGTACTCCAGCTTCCTCCCACAGTCCAAAAACATGACTGTTGGGTTCATTAGTCTCTCTAAATCGTCCTTAGTTATGAGTGTGTGTGTGTGCATGCTTGGTTGTTTGTTCTGTGTGTGTCTGTGATGGACTGGCAATCTGACCAGGGTGTTCCCTGCCTGGATACCTGGAGAAAGCTTGAGGTAAGCACCAGCTGCCCGTGACCCTTGAGGATAAGCGGGTGAAGAAAATGGATGGATGGAACATTAAAACAGCAACTTGTTGACCAAAGTGCTTCTTTAAGATAAAACACAACATGAAAGACCATAAAACTGATGAGGGCAGAGCAGGACATTAGCCAAGGTAGTCGAGTAAATGACTAAAGAAATGTCCAAGAATAAAACAGAAGAACATAAATGAAAATATATTTGAGAATGTAGAAATACATGGACAGTGTCACAGTCTAAAAACCAAGGAATAGAAGTGCATGTTTAAGAGTGATTGGAGGCAGTTCTGATACTGACCAGCAGGCTGTTCCTTATAATAAACCCCACAGGCAATATATACAAAGGAAAACAAAAGTGGACCTAGAACTAGGGATGTCTTGTTCCGATACTGATATCGGCCCAAAAACACTGTATCGTAAATTTATTGGACTGCATCAAAACTCTATAATATTAGCAGTCCGTTCCGCTTTTAATTCCAGTCCAGCAATTCTGTCCAGCAGCGCCCAGATCCAGCGTGCAAAGTCCACGTGATCGGAACAGTGTGTGCTAGCAAAGCAGCGAGGAACAATGTCGGCCATGTGGTCCTACTTTTCTTTAAAGTCTGAAAAAGACAGCTTGGCTCAGTGCAACACTTGTCATGCACCAGTTTCCCGTGGTAGAACAGAACCGGGGAAGATTTATACGTCCAACCTCATCGTGCATTTGAAGCAGGATCCCAAAAAAAACTGTTTTCTGATTGAGTGATATCACTTGGTCAGGCCTTTCATACATTCCACACTATGAAATAGGTAAAAGTATGTGTGATTTGTGCTGATATTGTATTGGATTGATATCAGTATCGGTCAATACTGAAGGCTGCGATATCTGTATCGTATCGGAAGTGAAAAAAGTTTTATCGGGACATCCCTACCAAGAACGGACCCTTGGGCAACACTGCAGAAAGGAGAGCTACAGAAGAGGAGAATGCACCCATGCTAACAGAGACGTTTCTGTCGGTGATGTAGGATCTAAACCCACTTAGTGCTGCGCCTAAGATGCCGACCGGTTCCTTCAAGTGTGACACAAGGATTTCCTTACCCATGATGTCAAAGGCTGCAGTCCAATCAGCAGCACAGAGCCCCCGTCTCCCTGGTTAGTAGATCAGCAGCTACATTTGTCTACATTTAAACCCAGACTGATACTTTCCTTCAATGCTATTGTCGTGTGTTTGTGTGTGACCGTAACTTTAGCGAGTCCATGCACTTGTGCTTCATTGACATCTCCTGTCATTTTCACTAATCACACTGACTTGAGAGTTGACTTGTTTGGTGTCATTTTGCGTGTTTTGTGTCTGAATCGGTATTTGATTAGTTTTACGATCAGACTAAACCCAGATGGTCTTTTCCCACGTCCAGGTCTGAACAGCTTCCCACACACGTGAATGCTGCTCTACCTCCCTCCCAATCCTCCTCTCCCTGCTTTTCCACTTCTACCAGCCATCACACATCCAGAGAGAGAAGGAAGCGACGAGCTCGGCTCGACGGTAATTGGCCGACTGGCAAGCGACACAGCAGCAATCCACAGGGGAAGCCGAGAAAAACAGGCTGCTTTATGTTAACGCAGGCCCAAAAGCACGTGGCAGCACCTGGCCCGTGCTCAGCCGCTCTGCTTCGTCGATACAACCACAGGCCAGACGTGCTCTAGTTAGGCTGCTGAGAGGAATCGTGGATTCATTTTACTCTGACGAAACAGATAAAGGGGAACTATGACACACACAGCTCTGGTACACCATACACATGAAACACATGAAACCAACCTCATGCCCTGCTGATTTAATTCCTTCTACTTTGTTCATCAGGATGTTTGACCAAATTGGCCCATGCATTGTAGATTTCATTAATCTGGCTGAATCTTCTGAATCTGGCTCTGTACCATCTGTTTTCAATCATGCATGTTGATCCTATCCTTAAAAAACAAGTTTGGACTCATCTCAGCCTAAACATCACAGACCCATCTCTAAAGGACCCTTTATCTCTAAAATACTGGAAAAGGTTGTGGCAGATCAGCTGATTACTTTTCTGGAACTACACAACAGTTTAGATGAATTCCAGTCTGGTTTTGGTGAGAAGCGTTAAACAGAAACAGCTCTGCTTAAAGTTTCCAGTGACATCATGATGGCTGCAGACAACGGGGAGTTCACAGTGTTAGTGTTGTTAGATCTTTCTGCAGCTTTTAACACAGTTGATCACAACACCTTCATTAACAGACTTGGTGACTCGGTGGGGATCTCTGGAACTGTTCTAGACTGGTTTAGATCGTACCTTTCTAACAGAAGTTACAGTGTCTGTAGAAACCACATCATGTCAGATTCTACTGATCTGTTCTGTGGGGTACCACAAGGCTCTGTTTTGGGTCCACTAATGTTTCTACTGTACATACACTCTCTTAGCGAGATACTTGATTCTTTTCATAATGTCTCTTATCACCTATATGCAGATGATATTCAACTGTACTGCTCCTTTAAGGATTCTGAGTTCTATAAACTGTCTGAATTACTAGAGTGTCTATCAGCCATCACCAGCTGGCTAGAAGATAACTTCCTTCAGTTGAACTCTGAAAAAACTGAATGTCTGATCATTGCCCCTGAGAGCATAGTTCCCCTGATTAGTCTAAAACTTGGTCATTTATCCTCTGCCGTCAAGAGGATTTAATGGGGGGGGTGAGCGTCTAGGAGGACCTCAGTTTGGCCTGAACACCATTTGCAGCAACCACTAGCTCTGATAGCATTTCTAGAATAATAATGTAGACCAGTAATCCTAGAGCTTCGCCATCTCTTTCCTCTCTGAGGCTAATGCAGGAGACAGTGTAGGAGGCTGTTTTCATGTTCATTCTGCAGGTTAAACGTGCGACTGATCGTATTTTATAAATGTACACGGTTCCTTAGTGAACTTAGTCTTCAACGTCCATTCTGAGATCCTGTCGCAGTTCAGCTGGATCAGCACAACACAGGTGGATTTCTCTGGGCAGTGGATTGTTCTGTAGGGCTATCGGTGACCCATCAGAGTCTACTCAAACGTAGCTTCCTGTGGAAAATCACTGAGACACAGAAAACATCCAGAAAACCCAAACAAATCCAGTTTTATGCTGCACTGAAGGGTCAACAGGGGGCGCTAGACTCCCATGACAGCTCCTGATTCAGTAAGTAGCGTCGGTCCTGCTGCGTTTCGGTGAGCCCTTCCCAAGAGGAAGGTGGTAACATCTGCTGCTTTTCAGATGGAATCAAAAGCTTAAGCAAGTCCTCTCGGTCTCCCTCCACCTCCTCCCTTCCATCCTTTTTCCTCCAGGCTGTCCTTGTCTGCCTCGTGGTCACAGATATTTACAGGAGGATCTTCTGTAACATCAGTGTTTATGCTTCTTGCGTTGCATCACGGGATTGTGAGACAACAAACAGCTCATTTGGCGTATAATTCAACTTTTTCCCCGTTTGGAGGGTTAAGGGAAGCAGATTCTTGCTGTGTGGTTGATTGTTCGGCCCGCGGGAGGCTTGATAAACGTTTCGACAGACACGATTTACTAGAGATGACTCAGTTTGATCACCACTCTGTGGAACTGAGGCTTTCACTCAGAGGAGTCTCTCAGCCCTGTTAAACTTTGATACCAGGAACTGTTTTGACCTCAGCACAAGTCTATGAAATTAAACACAAATATATACTTTAAATTAAAAAATAGTTTTTTTTGTTTTCAGAGTTCAGGATTAAAACAAAATCTTCAGTTTCTGCTTTTCTCTTAAAAAACAAATTCTTCTCTTTTATTCTTTTATTAAACATTTAAGTTTTCTTGACCCGAACTTAACATAAAGTCAAATAAAATTACACCAAACAACCCAACACACACTCACACACACACACCTGTCTGTAGCTTCGTGTACAGTGATCTGCCAGCATCCCTGTTGGGACTCTACTAACCTCCTCTCCAAGCATCCTGCTGTGAGTCAGTCTCTGACAGACCCTCACCCAACCACGAACACACAATCCGTCAATCACATCCAGTACTCACCCATGGCAAAGAACGGGATTCCCAGCAGTGTGGAGTTAAACTTCCCATCTGATATGAAGAAGATCCCTGCTGCCGTCACATTAGCAATGCAGATGGTCAGCACACCCAGAAGGCCGAGGAAAGGCTTCCCTCTCAGGCAGTCCCTCATGGAGCTGGAGATGGTAGCAGCCAGGAGCACCAGGACCAGGCTGACCAGGACCTCCCCTTTGCCCAGTATGCCAGTCTGGTGGAAGTCCCGCCAAAGGCTGAAGGAAGTGAGGGACTGGATGTGGAGCTTGTCAGTTGCATGTGGAGCTTCAGCCGTGGATAACCTGTTCACCAGAGCGCAGAACTCGTTCTCCCAGCGCTCTGCAATGGCATCCTGCACCACCGGTCCATGATGACGGAGGTAGTAGGTGATCTGCACAGCGCGGGCAAACTTGACCTGCTGGTCACGGCTGTTGGGCGAGAAGGACACGCCACCCAGCTGATGCCCGATGAAGGACACTCGGCCGTTCTGCAAAAACGTAAGAGAACGCAGATCTTAGACGGAAGGAATGCAAGAGGACCTGTTTTTTCTTACTTTTCCATTCCTGGTTAACTTTATGCATCAAAGTTTTGAATCAAAACAGGTTTTCTAAAACTTCCTGATCTGGGTTAACTCACCGTGCTGGGGCCTGTTAGGTATTTTTATTAAATGTTCATGTTGGTTGGTCTGTGAATCTTTCTTTCTGTGAGCTTGACGAGCTCCTGTGAAATTTGTAATGCCTGAGGCCAGAGAGTCTCTGGAATGTGGTAACCATGGTAACCCTAGGAGATGGGTGTACCTGTAACTTGAGAAGGCCCCGCCTTCTCCATCCTTTGCTGATTAAAGCCACTGGAAACTCTGAAGAAAGGGGGAGTCGCGTGGCATCGAGCTCTGGAGAGGGTTAGTGTCATTGGTGGTCTCCCCCTCATTTGGCTAATTCAGTGTAAAATGTCTCCCTTTCGTGATGTGTGTTTATTTCAGGTTCAAGGGTTATTGATAAGTAAAAATTACCCAACATTTTGGTGGAGAATGCGGGCATGCAGAGCTGGTGAGCTGAGGGCTTCGTCTGGAGCAGAGTGGGGGAGGTTTCCGGTTGGCTCCATGGAAGGGTTTTCAGCGCCCAGCTCTCGCATAACGATTCGGGGTAATGGAAATTACGAATAATCGATCTACTCTCTCTGTGTGTGTGTGTCATCCTTTGAGGTAATATGGGATAAATGAAAAATTACCTACCAGGGCCTCTTTTATGAAGCTTGCCTTATGCACAGAGACATGGATTTGGCTTTAGAAGTGCGGGGAACACAACCGGTATGAGGACTGGGGGGGTCTTTATTTACAAAAAATATATATAAAACTACAGCCTTTCATTCAATGTCAGGAATGCAGAACTGTCAAGTACACAGGTGGACATGCGCACCCCCCACCCCCATGCTTACGCACAAAACTGGGCCTGAAACTTGGGTAACTTTCTGCACAAACAAATGTACCGCACGACGCTGTAGTGTTTTAGCTGTAGTAAAAAAGGCGTCTGGCAACGGCGCAAACATCTTCATTCTTTTAGAAGAAAGGCTTTTAGCGCTTCTGCTTGTTGCTGTTTTAGAGACGTGTCCAAGTCATTTAGAACAGAGCAAAGAGCCGCAGCGAACGCCGCTTCAGTCGCCATGTTTATGACAAACTCAACGTTATGGTGTGTGACGTACGCTGCTCAGTGCTGATTGGCTTAGTTAGAACTCTCAGGGGGTGGGGCTATTTCAATAGGAGAGTTCCCAGACTTTCTCTGTGCAGGATTAAAGAGAGGAGGAGTCTGGCAGGCCAGGCTAAGGAACAGTGGCAAAGTCGCTGAGTTGGCAACGCTGCCCCTCGCTCTGCCGCTAAGCTACAGACAGCAAACGCTACAGGCTATGCCTGAGCGTGAATACGCATGACATCATCACGTATTACGCTGCCTCTGGAAGGCACTGGGGAAGCAGCACTCTCTTTTTCTGGGATTTTACAGGAATACAGAAGCAACCACAGTAAAATATTCCAGGGATCGCTGTACAGGACCGGGGCGTTGCAGGAGAATGGACGAGGAAGTCATTTTACATTTCTAAACATGTTCTGGTTGTTCAACTTCCATATGGTCCCTTTAAAGTACGGGTGTGTCGTATCCAAAAAAACACACCAGCACTGTTATCAGTTCATATTTTTCAGCAGACATGTAGTACATCTTTCCAATAGAGAAACATTTTGTTGTTTATTTTTAATCTAAATGTATCCTTTTTTTCTCGTTTTTATTTATTTTTTCAACAAATTTTTTCTAATTTTGTTCTCGTGAAGAGCCTCGTGATTTTTATTGTGAAATGCAAAAATTGCGAATAATTTTTCTTCTTCTATTGTAATCATACATTTACACAATTGTAAAATACTCCTTTTTTACTCAGTGCTTAAACTTGAAAGTACATATTTTCATAAAGGCCACTTAAGCCATTGTGCTGCCTTCATCTCAAAATTCCCACGCAGCAATGGATTGTGGGTAACACCCTTCGCCAAAGTGCACACTGATGCTGTTGGGGCTTTCCACTGGGTTGAGCTGTACTCCCATATACTTTTATATATACTACATATACTATTGTACTTGCACATACATACTGTCAAATATTTAATAATGTGGGAACAGGTACGCATAATAGAAAGGTTTTCCTTTTCCAGAGAAATCAGCTCATTGATTCAATGTAAAGTACAAAATACCTTTGTGGTACTGTAGTAGAAACGTATACTGTTGCCTTAACCTCGGTTTATGCTTGACGCGTCCGCGAGGTTCGCACGGCTCTGCGCAGAAAAGTTGCGTCATTTTAACAACCACGCCCCTCCGCACGGCCCAAACTTTCCGCACCGCGCACCTAGGAAATTTTCTAACCACGCGGACGGTCGGACGCGGAAAAACATGGCGGACTGGCAAGAACTAGTATGGCAGAGGTTGGTAAATACAGACATTTGTATGATTCAGCTCTCAGAGATCACCGTGATCAACATGTTGTTAATAATTCTTGGAGAGAAATAGCTCGCACTGTCGGAAAAGACGAGGACGCTGTTAAAAATGCTGGAATGCCATGTTGTAAACAGTAATTTCTACTTCTACTATGGTGTAGTGTTGGATGCATGCCGTAGAGCTCCATGCTGCCCCCTACAGTTTGGGAGAATATTGGCTCACCGCAGAGACGAGCCGCATGAACCATAAACGCTGCAGGTTGTGAAGCGCGTTCCATCCGCGAGCCGCATCACCAAGCGGAAAGTGAATGTGTCAAGCATAAACCAAGCTTTATGTACCTTAACTTGGTTTGGAAATGCTGGAGTCAGAATGGAAAGGGTTGGACTTGAAAATGAGGCGCACACTTGCAACCATGAAAATGCGGAAATATAGTATTTCAACAGGAAGGTTGTGTACTGAGTAACGTTTATTTTGTGAAGGGTTGTGCCTTCTTCCATTTCATGTGTTTTTGTTAAAGTCACACTGGCCTTAAATTTAGGTCACTATTAACATCCACAAGTAGCAAAAACATGGTTTTCATTCACAGACTTCCTCTTTGGACTCCCATAGCAGCTCTTCTCTGCTTTTATAGCACCGCCGTCTGTTCATGTCTGATACTAGTGAGTAACCATTATTGTAATCTAATAATCTCCATTAAATGACACAACTGCTGCTGATGTGAGTGAGTCTCTTCGAAATATGATGACACCACCACTGTGCTTTTGTGCTAATTATTCATACTCCGATAACGATCACCTTTTCCAAGCCTCACACAACACGGTTGGCCCTGTTCACTGCACTCGCCGTGTTCTTTGATGTATTTTTAATTTACCTGGCAGCTTATACAGATCACACAACTTCAAATGCAGCAGACAAAGCAGAGGAACAGAAAAATAATTTAAGCATTTTCTCCAAGGAGCAGAACTAAAGTTCAGCTCAGCAAAAAATGCTTTAATGTATAAAGTTTCTCTGTTACAAGAGCAGAAATAAATCCCAGTTGTGGCATCAAAGGCATGGATGAGGTGTGAGAAATCAGGCAATTTAACTAGTACCGACGGCTCATAGGCAGGCGAGGAGGACTCAGGAACATGGAGAGTTTGGGAGGAAGGATGCTGGAGCCTTCACGGAGGAACAACTACTACTGGTGTTGGAGAGACGTGAACTCCAGATTCACCCGTTCTGGTGTTGAAGGCCTACAGCGATGTCTGATTACTGTACAGCTCTGAGCTGCGGTGATCACCAGAACACTGTTTACTTTTTAAATCGATGATTGAATTAGAAAGTTTCTGGAGTTAAAAACGTCCATGTGAAGGTTTTTACTCTCTAGTGAGAAAAATGCACCGAAAGAAGGCGTGGCCTGACAGACCAAGAGTTAGCACCCCGTACGAGCTCTCTGAGCTTCTCCATGGCACAAATAAGCCCTTATCACACACACACACACACACACACACACACACACACACACACAGTCCAATGCCCATTCAACAGGCTTAATCTCAGAACTTGGTGTGTGAACAGTTTTCAGTGCAACCACTTCCTGTGATCCTCAGACTGAACCCCAGGATCAAACTCCCTCTCTCTTTAAACTCTGAGAGCAAATGTTTCTAACTGGCAGGAGGCCGAGGGAGAGGACAGCAGGAGACACAACGTCAAGGACTCCAACACTAAAGCTGACAAGGCTTCAAAAGACATAAACCACTAAGAGCTATCTAAATGGCAAACTAGGGATCTCATCATGTTCAGTGGCGAATTTAAAGGACGCAGAAGCATCTATTGACCATCAGCAGCAGCAGCAGCAGCAGCAGCAGCAGCATGTGCATTCAGCTGCAACAGCATCCCAGAGAAAACTGAGGTCTGTGAATCTGGTGAGAAGACTCTTCAACATAAACATTCATCATAAACTTTAACTAGGATTTAGATCCTCTTACACAACAACTAAAGGGACCTTACACAGCTACAGCCGAGTCACCATGACGGGATCGCCACTGATATTGGGCTTTTCCTGTTTGTTCCCATTTATGTTTGAGAGTTTTCATTCATTTACATTTTAAAATGGTAACTGATCACAGACCCCCAAGGTGCTTCACAACACAGTCATTCACCCACACACATTCACACACTGGCACATTCAGCCAAATATTTGTGTCTCTTTAAAGTGACAGTGTGTATTTTCCCTGGCGATAGGGGGCAGTACATTCCAAAATCATTTGAAGCATGTGTGCTACGCTTGTGTTCGAGTAAGCTCTTACCAACGGATGTCCATTAGGATAAAACATATCTGGAAGTGCAACCTCCAGCAAAACAACAAGAACATTAAACTCTCTTTCAACACCGGCAACAAGGTTTTTTTCTGATTCAGGGGATCTGCTGCTGGCATCGTCACTTCCTTTTTTCAGTGTTGCACTCTGTGTAGCTGTTCGGTGTTTGTGGCTCGCTAAAATGGATTAAATTTCTCTGTACTAGGATACGTCTGAGTTAT